AGATCAACTCAATGAAATAAAACGAGAAGGCAAGATTAGAGAAAAAAGGCTAAAAAGGAATGAACAAAGTCTCCAAGAAATATGGGACTATGTGAAAAGACCTAACCTACGTTTGATAGGTGTACCTGAATGTGACGAAGAGAATGAATCCAAGCTAGAAAATATTCTTCAGGATATTATCCAGGAAAACTTTCCCAACCTAGCAACGCAGGCCAAAATTCAAGTCCAGGAAATACAGAGAACATCACAAAGATATTCCTCAAGAAGAGCAACCCCAAGGCACATAATTGTCAGATTCGCCAGGGTTGAAATGAAGCAGAAAATGCTAAGGGCAGCCAGAGAGAAAGGTCAGATTACCCATAAAGGGAAGCCCATCAGACTCACAGCAGATCTCTCAGTAGAAACCCTACAAGCCAGAAGAGAGTGGGGGCCAATATTCAACATCCTTAAAGAAAAGAACTTTCAACCCAGAATGTCATATCCAGCCAAACTAAGCTTCATAAGTGAAGGAAAAATAAAATCCTTTGTGAACAAGCAAGTACTCAGAGATTTCATCACCACCAGGCCTGCTTTACAAGAGGTCCTGAAAGAAGCACTACACACAGAAAGGAACAACCAGTACCAGCCACTCTAAAAACATACCAAAAGGTAAAGAGCATCAACATAATGAAGAATCTTCATCAACTAATAGGCAAAACAGCCAGCTAGTTTTAAATGGCAGTATCAAATTCACACACATCAATATTAACCCTAAATGTAAATGGACTAAATGTCCCAATCAAAAGACACAGACTGGCAAATTGGATAAAAAGTGGCCCCATTCTTAAAACACTTCCAGCTTAGTTGGGGAGATAGCAAATATGGTCAGGTAATTTCTAAATCAGAACTAGAGAAATTTGTAACTATAAAATGGAATGAGAAAATTGGACTTTGAATGCTTTAGGATTAAATGTTATAGTCTTATAAAATTGCTCAATTCCTACTGAAGATTAGACATGAATTCTGATCCGAAAGAACTCATGACTTTAGCTAAGGCATCCTATTGTCTAGTAGAAGTTTCTTCAATAAAGGAAATGTTTGATAATCTGTGCCATCCAATAAGATAGCCACTAACTTGTGGCTTTTGAGCCTTTGAGCCTCTGAAACGTTATTAGTGCAAAAAAAAAAAAAAAAAAAAAAAAAAAAAAAAAAAGAAAGAAAGAAAATGAAATTTTGACTTTAGGTTAGCTTGGTACAGAGGTGCATGCCTGTAATTTCAGATACTTGGTAGGGTAGCCTGAGGTGGAAGGGTGGCTTGAGGTGAGGAGTTTGAGGCTGCACTGAGCTATGATTACATCACTGCATTCCAGCCTGGGCAATAGAGCAAGACTCCCATCCTCTCTCCCTCTTTCTCTTCCTTTTTCTTTTCTTTCTCTCTTTTTTTCTTAAAAATATATATATATATTTGTACAAATTTATGGGGTACATGTGAAATTTTATTACACGTATATAATGTACAGTGAGCCATTCAAGGATATTTAGGGTGTCCATCACCCGAGGACAATACCTTTTTGTTAACTATAATCATCCTATTCTGCTATAAAAAATAATTATTCCGATTTGTTTATGTTCTCAAAACATTTCAGATGAAGAGAAGATGGATAACGAAAGGTTCTTGAATAAAGGATAAAAAACCACTAATTTAAAAGGTTCTAAAAAGATGGTACTTTTTCCAAATAGGTGTTGTACTCTTTTTGACACTTATAATGATTTTTTATACTTCTGTTAGTCCTACTGAGCAAATCAGTCCCACTTCACATAAAGGGAAAACTTAGTCAAGAAAAGCAGCCATTTTCATTTAGAAACTGAAAAATAGAAAATAAAATAAAAAGAAACTGAAAAATAGGCCTGAGGCTTCAGTCTCTAATTTTGGTGGGTTCTCTCTGCAGTTCTGTGAAATCTCTCATAGAGCTTCTAGAAAAGAAATGTTTCTGTGACTTCATTTTTCTTTTGCGAAACATGTTTTCTTCCTGTGAGAATTAGCCAGGATCCAACTGAAGTGACACAAATGATGGTGTGTATTGTGCCAATAAGAGATCTGCCAACTCCCAAGCAAGCTGTCTCTTCCCGCTGAAATTCTCTTTCATGCATTTCTTCCATTCTGGTCACACTGCCATGCTGAGAAACAGCTGGTGCCACACTTCTAGATCAATGGCTTTGCTTGTGTGCTGCTTTGAGAGCAGAAATGGGGGAAGGGAGGGAAAGAGCAGTACAGAATGGAGACCTCAGGTTCAGTGCCTTTGCCTGATTTCCAAGGCACACTTTTAAGGCCTTGAGGGTCATTTAGGAATATGTAACTGTTCACACAAACAGAAAACAGATCCTAACTCACAATCCTCACCAGTGCCAGTGTTTGTGCTAATCTCTCCATCTTCAAAGACTCTTGTGGTCAGCTCCTCTCAACTTATTGGCCATTTACCACTGCTTCCATTCTATTTCTGCTATCTGCACCTTACTCAGTCATCCCTTGGTATCTGCAGGAGACTGATTCCAGATCCCCTGCCAATCCCCAAACCCCTGGATGTTCAAGTTATATAATGGGGTAGTAATTGCATATAACCTACACATATTCTCCCATATACTTAATTCATCTACACATTACTGATGCCAGATACAATGCAAATGCCATGTAAACAGATGTTATATTGTATTTTTAAAATCATTCTTATTGCTGTACTTTTTTTTTTTTTTTTTAATATTTTTGATCCACAGTTGGTTGAATCCGTGAATGCAGAACCCTTAGATACAAAGTGCCACTTGTACCTAGAATGCTGTCTCAGCCTGAGGTACCTTCTTCACATCACTCATGAAGTGCTTGAAACCACTCCCCTCCAAGAAGCACTTTAGAACACTCAGAAAAAGATCCTAATCTCATTATTCTTGGTCCAAATACAAAACTCCAGACTCCTCAATTACTGCATCACTAAAATTCCCACCATTTAAGTCCATTAATCATGTATTTATTATTAGTCTGGTGTGTTTTCATCAGTGGTAATGTAACACCATAAGCATGATTTTTCCAATTTTACTGCTTCTATAACAGTTTCATGTGAAAAATTGATAAATTTTCATTATCAATTTCAAATGGAAAAATTCGATAAATTTATCTTGATTTCATAGGCAAAACAGCACCTTTACACAGCCCTCGGTTAAAGCCACCAGTTTATAAGTAATTCAGTAGAATAGCCTAGAGGTGACAAAGGAAGAGTTGGGCAGCAGCATTCAACAAACCTCCATGAATGAAGCTTTGCTCCTCTATTCTGATACCTGGGCTGCACCCTTCAGGCTGTTGGCTGTACCTGTAGATTAGTTACGTAATTCTGCAGAAAGATTCTCAATGCCCATTTTCAGGTGCCTTTAATTGATCCACTTCCAACTCGACCTGTCACTGTATAAACAAAAACAGCTTCTGACACTGACCTGCCACTCTCCTGGTTTCTACCTCTGTCTTCCCCGCTTTGCATTAGAATCAGTCCAGTGGTTAACGGTGGCACCTGAAAGACAATTTCTCCAAGATAACTGCATAGGCTCAAAGGGCAAAACACCTGTCTTCTTGGCAGAAGTCACCAGGCTCCTGGACAAATAATTTGGAGTTTGACTGTCTAATGGACATACTGCTGGAGTGGGTGTTCTTAGGGTTGTCTTCAGTGTTGTCACTTGGATACACCTTTTCCTTGAGTAGAAAACTAGGACATTCTGTTCCAGGAAAGCATTCTGCTTGCCAATAGAGTTTCAGTTATTACAGTTTAGGCATACTAATGAAGGGCTTTTTTTTCTTGTCATCAAAACATGCCATCTTACGACCCAAATGCTCTCCATTTCATTCTTCTGGCCAGTTACAACATCCACACAACTTGGAATTGATGAAACTATTGCTTTCCTAAACACCTGTGTGCTTTTGTAAATGCCTTTAACGGAGTCACTACTCATGGCAAATATGTTATAGAAGGGACAAACATATGATATGTAGCACCTGAGAAAGGAGTACCATAAGGAAAAACAATGGAAAAGGAGGGGAAACAGAGAACAGGCAGAAATAGGGACACATTTATTAGCAAAGAATTGCAAGAGGCAGAGGAGTGGTTAAGCAAGCTGAGAACGCAGGGAGGACAGAAAAATAAAAATGATCTTCATTGTCTGATTGTCACAATGTTGATGGGCACTAAAATACTGCCAGGTGCTGGTTTAGACTAACTTGACATCAAGCTTGCAAAAAAGAACACTATTTTCACAGTCTATGAAATGTTATTAATATGTAAGTGCAAGGTCAGAGAGGAGGATGAGAGAGTGAAAAATCTGAAATGTTTTCTGACTCTAACTTGTACATCCTTAGAAACAGTAGATTAAAGGAGGGTTCTGAAACAGGAGAATTTAAAAGAAAAAGCACATTTGTCTCATACATTTGTGCTTCTATAAAAAGATTTTCACAGGAGATTTGTACTTGCAATGTATATTTTAGTGCTTTTAAATTTTGTTTTGGCAAATAAAGTAAAAGGAAGATTCTATTTATGTTTAATTAAGGTTTGCACTTGATATAAACCTTTTGAAAAAGTCAAATGTCTCCATGTAAATATAATCAAGTTTCCTTCAGCAAGTGTCCATGTGTGATAAATAAAAAGTTTTAACTTACTAATATTCACAGGTAACACAGAGAAGAAAAAAAGAGAAATTCATAAAGAGACTTTAAGAATAAATGTTGGGCTGGGTGCAGTGGCTCACGCCTGTAATCCCGGCACTTTGGGAGGCTGAAGCCAGTGGATCACCTTGAGGTTGGGAGTTCAAGACCAGCCTGATGAACATGGAGAAATCCTGTCTCTACTAAAAATACAAAATTAGCCAGGCGTGGTGGTGCATGCCTGTAAGCCCTGCTACTCAGGAGGCAGAGGCAGAATCACTTGAACCGGGGAGGTGGAGGTTGCAGTGAGCCAAGATGGTGCCATTGCACTCCAGCCTGGGCAACAAGAGCAAAACTCCATCTCAGGAAAAAAAAAATGTTTAAAGTTAGTGGTTGATCACTAGTTTGTGCAGTCTATAAATTTTTGGAATGCTTTAACAGATATATATCTTGATTTGTGGCTTAATTGCAGGTTCTCTTTCTGGAAATCTTTTGCTTGACAGAATCCCAACACAGCCCAAGTTTCTGGAGAGTTTAACCATCATCTTCTGCCAGCATGTCAATCTCTAAGGGTTTAGTGCTTGGATGTCAGAGTGAGTGTTGATGATACTCGGAAGATCTGGGGAAGCATGTTACTAAGTTGATAAAACATTTCTTCAGAAATACTCTGTAAGAGGAAAAAATAATAATTGCACTTGTTACATCATCATTGATTTTTAAAATAATTTTAGAAGTATTTTAAAATATGGACCTAGTTCTACATATGGAGTGCAATTATGTGAAAATTATCTTTCATGACTGATGTAACTGCATGGCTATGGACAAGAGCTGTTTTTCTGGCTCCATCTTCGGAGAACTTATGTCGTTTCTGTCAAATATTAAGTCTGATGAGTAGAAAAACCTCTAGATGAATACTAGTGTAAATCAGTAATAAAATACCATTCATTTTACCAAGTTCTTCACAAACTACAAACTCATTCTCTGCTAATGGCCTTACTGATGAACCCTTTGTAATCTATATGATACAAATGTGGAGAAAAACAAAGGAATGATGAGTTGGGTTTTGTCTGGGGGTTAAATAACAAATCCCTGGAGTGGTAGATGCTGATACCTTTGACAATAGACTAAGTGCCTTTATAACATCCAAATACTTCTCCCCTTAAAAAACAGAAAGTGATTAGCATTTTATGTTGGATTTAGGATTTGAGGGCAGGATGCCTAGCTGAATCTGTGAGAAATCCAATAAAAGAGATTAAATTGGGGTGAGATGCTACACAGATAACATACCTGTGGTACTAGAAATTGCACTGTCCTAGAAATTCCTCCATCCCATGAAGCCATTTCCATCATAAAACCTAAAATAGAAAAATAGATGTGGCTGTATTACAAGCTCTGGCCTTCAAACCTTTCAGTCATTTACTGAAATAAACTGAATTTTCATTGTAAGTCTTCATGTCTTGACTTTTTAGGTTGCCATTTGCCTGCAGGATACGCTACGCCTACAGGACAGATAAATGTCTGTAATCCCTAATTCTTCATGCCAGAGAGGTGTAACAGAGTTCTGTCAACACACTCTTATTTATGATTTCTCAAATCAAATTTAGTCTCCACAGAATGAAGCTAAGACAGGTTATTAAAAGTTAATAAATATGTGGCTCTATTTTTTTTTCTAAGAGAATCAAGGAAATAGAGAGCAAGCTAGCAGCAGAACAAAATATAGTGTCCAAATATCCTTGTATTTCAAAGGGGCTGGAGACTCACTTTGTGACTAGAAAAATAAAAATAAAAAGGCCTATTATGAAATATTTGCTTGCTGAACTATCTAACTGAGGCACTAGATTGCACGGGCATCTTTCACATTCTTTCTTCTGGGTCACTCTACTTTGAATATTTGGGAGGAAATATAGGTGGTGGTTGTCAGAGATAAGATTATGCTCACCTTTGACACACTTGAACACAAGTTCCGCTCTCCTTAAGCACCAGGGTATAGTCATTTCCTAAAAACAGAAATAAAACAAGAGTTATGTTTTTAACAGAACTTTGTATAAAAAATAAAGTCAGATCTTCATTTATCTATAATGTTGACCATCCACGTTGTTGTGAATGGATTTAGGCAACTATTTGCTAATCCCAACTGGATTTCCTCTAGTTTTTAGGCATGCAACTTCTTCCGGCTCTTAGACTATACTTGTGGAATACAAATTAATTTAATAAGCCCTATAAATATAATTAAAAAATAAACATATCATTTTTTCTGGATAATTCTAAAGGCAAATATAAATGACATAGGAACTCTACTACTTGAAATGTTAGCATCAATAATTCTATTACAATGTATATTTGCATAAGCAATAAAATATTTTTACTGTATAGGATGTTATTACAAATGAATGGAAATAAACAAATGCCCCATCTAAGCCACCTAACAAATGCATTCATTTTTCTACATTTCTTTCTAATCTTCATTTACCAAAACATTTATAATTTTCCATAGTATGATTGGAGCATATGTCATTTTAAAATCTATTCCTCTTCATAAACATCGGGATTGTTTTTCCCTAAGTCTTCATAATTATAACTATAAAACATGTAGATTATTTCATTATTGTGATTCTCAAACTTTGTGGGTCTCAGGATCCTTTTGTACTCTTAAATATTAGCCTAGTGCTAATGGTGCACATTTGTAGTCCCAGCTACTTGGGAGGTTAAAGGAAGAGGATTCCTTCTTTATGTAGATTCTTTATGTAGATTACATCTTTTGATAATTATTGCATTAGGAATTAAAACTAAGAAAACATTAATTTCATTTAAAAACAATGATAAACCCATTCATGTTAACCTAAATAATATTTTTATGAAAAATAACTATTTTGCAAAACAAAAATGTTTTAGTATGATTAATAACGTTTCAAATTTCTACAAATCTCATTAAAGCCTAGCCTAACAGAAGACATCTGGATTCTTATAGCTGTCTCTGCATTCAATCTGTTATATTATCACACAGCATGTAGCTTCTGAAAACCTCACTGGACACTTGTGCAAGAATAAGAATGGAAAAGCCAAATGATGTCTTCCTTACCAACTACTCAGTCTTTTACCTTTTCTAAGAAGGCTTCCACCCCATCACTCAACAGAAAATTCTTTATGTAAGATCATCAATGATTATTAATTACCAAACCTTTTCTCAGTCGTATTCTAATTGACCTTCTTGTTGTAATTCATATACTTAGTGACCACTCCTTTTCTTCATGACATTTTCCCACCCTCTGCCCTGGGGCTGATGTATCATCAAATTATTTCAGTTCTTCACCTATCTCTGAAGGTCCTTGGACCTCATGGCTAGTTACTGCTAAGCTTCCTATCTAGTGTCCTGAATTCTAGTATTTCCCCTCTAAACCACTACTTCTGGCTATTTTAAGTACATTTCTGATTATATTATACTCCTGTTTTAAGAACTTAAAATTGCTTCCTACTGTCTCACACATAATATGTAAGCCTTTCTTTTACTATTTAAGGCTACATACTTTAAAGCCAAAGCTACTTTAAGTTTCTGTGACTTTTAAATTTTTAAAAATGAAGGTTTCATTCAAGTATATCTGCTCACATTTGCCTAAACATGGTCTGCCATGCCTGTCACCCACCTCCCTCCCACTTTTCCTCAATCTGTTTCTTCTACCTACAATGCCCTTCTCAGTAATTCCATCTATTGAACCTGATCTTCATTCTTCAATGTCCAGACAGTATCACCTATTACATCATCTCCTATTTTCCCAGCTACAAATACGTCTCCATTTTCTGAACTCCCAAGGTAATTTACTGTTCTCTTATCTCAATACTCACATTTTTATCCTGTCGTTTTTGGGGAGGAGGGCAGAGGAATGGGCAGAAGGATGGGATTTATTCTTTCTCTTCTTTATTAAGTTACGTGCTCTCTGAAGGTAGAAGCCACTTTTTATTCACTTTTATTACCTTTATAATGCCTTCTATAATACTGAGCATATACATGCTTGAAAACATAGGTTGAATGAATTAGCTTTTTTTTTTTTTTTTAATCCATGGATATTTAAAGAGTGTGACTTTATTTGTAGCCAGAAATAGGGTTTAATAGAAAACTACTTTTAAATTTGTGTCCGGTCTAGTTTTTTAGTTGGCTAAAAAGGAAATAATTTTCTTGGGTTACGTCCTGAAAGCTTCTAAAAATTCACCAGAATTTTCTGATATTCAACTTTAAGTTATGTCTATAAACACTTTGGTTTCAAAGTTCCCAGAAAGAAAAGGATTTTCTTATAACTGCAAAGGCTACTGCAAAAGAGCTACAGTGGTCTTATGGGGTACACACATGCATGGAGGGACAAGTGTTCAGTTTTTTGTCTTACTTCCTCCTAGTTAAAAGATGATGTATAGAGAGAACAAGGTGACTAAGAAATGTCTACAGCTACGGAGCAATGCTGATTGCTCTAAAAACTACAATAATAATGTCTTATGTTTACATGAAACTTTACAATGTACATAATCTCACAAAAATAACCTTTATAAATTAAAAAAAAAAGATGTCACTCAAAAAAAAAAAAGATGCTCAGAGAAGTACATGGAATTGCTCAAGGTCATGTGACAGCCTGAGGCTTGAATTTTCATTTTCTTAATAGTATCTTTTGATGAGATAAGGTTTTGAATTTTAGAATGTAATATTCTTATTTTATGGCTTATGCTTTTGTGGTATAACAAATTTTAACCTGCTTAATCTGATGTCATCAGGCTTTTCTTTTATGTTTTCCTCTAGAAGCTTTATAATATTAGTTCTTTTGTTTAGGTCTTTAAACCATTTCAAATTAATTTTTATATATGATATAATCTAAGGGTTAAGCCTGTTTTTTCTATATGAATATCCAATTGTTTCAACAACACTGAAAAGATTATCCTTTCTCCCACTGCATTGCCTTGGCATCTTTGCTGGAAACCAAATGACCATATATGTATGAATTTATATCTGGACGCTTTATGCTGTTTTCTGATTCATAGTCTGTTCTTTTGCCACTAGCACATTGCATTGATTACTATAACTTTATAGCAAGTCTTGAAGTTAGTTAGTGTCAGTCCTTTAACTTTGTTCTTTTTCAAAATGGATTTGGCTGTTTCAGGTCCTGTGCATTTCCATATACCTTTTAGAATTAGCTCGTCAAAATCTCAAAATTACCTTGTAAGAATTCTGATTGGGATTTAAATCTATAGACCAATTTTAGGAGAACTATTATCCTGACAATATTGAGTCTTCCAATCCATGAAAACAGTATATATTTCCATTTATTTAGGTCTCTTGAAGTTTCCCTCAGCAATGTTTTGCAGTTGCTAGGTCACTTTTCATAACATCTTTTTACTTGAAGGCATTTTAAGCTTGTTTTCAGTTCTTTAAACACAGTAATCAACTATTGTATGATCTGTGCTTCAAGTCTTTGTGCATCTGTTTTCACGTTTAGTTGTTTCTGCTGATTCTCATTCATGGTATCTAATTTCATTAAGGGCCTACTTATTCACTTATGTTAAACATTTTATTCAAGAACCATATGTAGGAATAAATACTATTGTATAACTGAGTACTTGTATCATCTTAAAATATTACTCTAACACCAATCATTTTTGAAATATTATGCTAGTAATCAGAATTAGTACTATTTATACTGTTTTAATGAAGCACTCATTTTTAAATATAAAAAAGCATTTCTGACAGTAACTTGTCTTATAATCTAGAATTTACTGACATCTATGATTAGCCTTGAATTATTTCAGGCTAAGGTCAAATCTAAGCACCACTAGTCACATGAGGACAACTAATGTAAATTGTAAGCATAGAGCTTATTGAAGGGCTGGTTTTGAACACCAACAAACAGAATATATATTATTCCAATGCATTAAAATCAAAATACTAATGGTAATAATGAAATATTATAGTTAACATAGGAATGGGTTAAGTGGTAGGTAGGGGAAGAGTAATCACGTTCATTGTCCCACTTGTCCAAAGGTCACCACGATTTTACTGATTAATACCCTGCTTTCTTGCTTTTTGTACATGTGTGCTTAACTGCATGGTCTACAGCAAATATTTGTGATACAAACTAAGAAATTCACACTTTTTGGAATGATGTGAATTAATGACAAAGTTTCATCCATGCTATTTAGAGAATATACCAAAATATCAATTTGTGGTAGGACCCCAGCACATCTTTGAAGTGATGGACACCGTTTAAAAAGAAATTTAAATCTCAGATGATATAAACTCTCATATTCAGTATACTTTAACCTAATGCCACTTAGCAGCATATTACTCTAAGAGGAAACTAGACAGCTACCTGTATGTGCATGTGTATGTGCACACACACACACACACACACACACACCCCTGAGTTGTTTTCAAATCTTACATGTGCCTCCATAGAGATTCCACCATAAGCTTAAGAGAGATACTTGCAAGGTTTTTTTAATCCTGTCATTTTGTCTCTGATTAAAACCAGCACCTAAAAAGAATGGCTTTGGGTACTTAGAAAAGGTAAACTGTAAGTTTAGAAGTCAATAAAGTCATGAGAAGAACGACTTACTGAATGTCATGAGTTGTGGTCAGCAGTTTCACAAGGAGCTTACTTCTGGAAACAAATCTTAGTATATATGATATAGTAGATGATATAGACAACACTATGTTGTCTCTACATAGACAGGGTAACAGTAGAGAAAGTCTTTGATCATGAATTCTAAATAATGAAAAAGTGACTACATCTTAGTGACATGCCTGTGAGAGCGCACTGTTAGAGAAATCCAGTGAAGCTGAAAGGATGATGTGAAACACTACAGACTTTATAACAAGCAAAGAATTGGGCCCTGGCCCAGGTATAGTGGCTCACGCCTGTAATCCCAGCACTTTGGGAAGCCAAGGTGGGCAGATCATAGGGTCAGGAGTTCGAGACCAGCGTGGCCAACATGGTGAAACCCCATCTCCACTAAAAACACAAAAATTAGCTGAACATGGTGACAGGCACCTATAATCCCAGCTATTCAGGAGGCTGAGGCAGGACAATTGCTTGAGCCCGGGAGGCAGAAGTGGCAGTGAGCTGAGATCGCGTCACTGCACTCCAGCCTAGGTGACAGAGCAAGACTCTGTCTCAAGAAAAAAAAAATTGGACCCTACTGTCACACTTTAGATGATAAATGTACAGAAGAGATTCTAAACCTATGAAAATGAAATTAAAATATCAGTTCTGACTATAATTGAGATAATATCTTATACTAAAGCTGACTGTTACTCAACATGAATGCTCTCATTAGGGTAAGGTTGAACTGCGGTTACTCAGTATGTACTTTTAAGTCTTCACTATTTGTCTTGGAATTTAGACATAAGAATTATTATCTGAGTTTATGTACCAATGGGGAATATTCCAAGATTATTGTTTACCTCTCAAGTATGTGCCTCTGAGGTACCTGAAACACTGTGTTAATAAGTTTCACAGCCATTATCAGAAGAGGAGGAATAGTCTGGCTTTATTTCTTGTTTTTCACATTCAGTATAACAGCACAGGTCACACCACTTTGAAAAGCTATTTGGCATATCTACCGAAGCTAAACATGAATATACCCTGGGACCTAAACATTCTATCCCTAAGTATATTCTCAAAAGAAATGTCAAAAGGTGTCTACTGGAATGTTCATAGCAATACTACTCATAAAAATCTGGAAAAATTACCCAAATGTCCATAAATAGAGTGTATAGTCACATGATGAAATATATTAACAATAACAATGAACAATATATAACCATGCACAATATTATGGATAGATCTCACAACATACTATTGAAGGAAAGAAGCCAGATATAAGATTAACAGCAAAAGCAAGCCCAACTAATCCATAATTTTTGAGATGAAAATAGTGGTTACCCTTGAGGAGGGAGCGTAGTTTAACTGAAAGGGAGGTGGCTGCTGGGGTGCTGGTCATGTTCTGCCTCATGTTCTGCATATTTGTTACATGGGTGTTCAGTCTATGAAGATTTGAGCTGTGTACCTATGCATACTTTTCTATATGTATGTTATACTCCCATGTAAAAGTTAAAAACAAACATCTATATGTGTGCTATACTCCAATATAAAAGCGAAAAACAACAAAATCTTCATTAGTAACAACAGTTACAAAACTAAATGATTTGATAAGCCCAAATTATTCAACAAGTTAACAGAAACAATAAAAGGAAGTTAAGAATTCAGTATTCTTGGCTTTTAGCTTCATTCCACAAGACGGACTCCAATAAGACAGTATCTTCAGAGTAAAAGGATTTATTGAAATAAAACTGATATGTCTTTCTTCTTGCTGACAGGTTATTTTTCCTTTTTTCTTTTTAAACTGCAATTAATTTCTATAGCCCTTTTATCTATCACGGGACATGGGCTGTTTCACTCATCTTCATTATCATCTTGCACACACTAAAACGTGGTTAACTGAGTGTCTGATGATTCTGCTAGAAGAGGAAAGCGACATCTGCAATGCTTTGGGATCCTTGCCCCAAAGCTAAAACCAACATTGACCTCCATATCCTGTGTAGTGTTATCTGAGTTTAGAAACTTCTTGACCTGAATGGATGTTTAAATACAACAAATGGGAGAATCATAGCTCAATATACTTTTGTGAATTAAACTGGACACTTGGGAAACAAACTTAATGCTCTGCAGCTGGCCTTCCCAATTTAAAACATGTAACTTTTGTAACATTGTGGGAGAAGGAACTAGTAGATCAGATGTCTGGAAGTAAATCTGAACTTAGTGACTTCTGGAAACAGTTTTTGAGGTCGTTTCCCACCTACATATAACCATTTTTATAAAGTGGTTAACCAGGAGTCCAGCTGCAGGAATGTTTGGATGAATTCCTTGTGGTGGGAATTCATCATTAACTTTGTTACTCCCCAAAGACCCTTTTATAGATAGACTAGTTAGTGATGATGATTTAACAATAGCTAAAAATTCCTGATGGAACTAAAACTTTATAAAGCTATAGTGGGGGAAAAATTGTTTGTCCATCTCTCTTGATACCATATTAGGATGGCTGAGGCTACAGAAGTGAATGGAATGAGAAATTAGAAAGTCTGATGAAGCTTTCATAGGATAGTGCTGGAATTCTCCTCATCAAAACAACCAAGTACCTAGTAAAAATATACCAGCATAGATTATAAGTGGGAAATCATTTAAAATCACCCTGTCTCAGAAGGACAGGAATTTTTGTGTGTGTTTATAAAGCAGCAGTCCCCGACCTTTTTGACACCAGGAACCAGATTTGTGGAAGACAATTTTTTCACAGACTGGGGGTGGGGGTGAGGGTGGGGATAGCAGGGATGGTTTCAAGATGCTACTGTTCCACCTCAGATCACCAGGCATTACATTCTCATAAGGAGCACACATCCTAGATCCCTTGCATGCATAGTTCACAATAGGGTTCGCGCTCCTATGAGAATCCAGTGTGGCTGCTGATCTGTCAAGAGGCAGAGCTCAGGTGGTAATTCTCGTCCTCCGACCCTCGCCTCCTGCTGTGGGGTAGGTCCTTGGCCTAGCTGTTTGGGACCCCTGTTATACAGGATATGAAATTTAAAATGAGGCCTCCTGCAATATAATGAGTCTAAGTGGGGACTTCGTCTAAAAAGTAAAACATAAACTCTTTTACACTGTCCTTTACAATACAGCATTTTTCTTTTGGTAAATAACTGTTTATAATCAATAATCAAACTTCTTTCCTGACATTCACAATCTCCACTTCCCAGTCAGCAATTTTTAAAAGAGATACAGTTTTACTGTGTTGCTCAGGCTGGTCTTGAACTCTGGGCTAAAACAATCTTCCTGCCTCAGTCCTTGGAATAGCTGGGACTACAGGTGTCAATTTTGCTTTTTAAAAAAATGCCTCCTCAAAATAAGCAGGCACAGAGTTGCTATTGAGTCCTTCATCAACAAGTCAAGCACTGGCTCTCCTAGGACTTGTCTGGAACCGTTTGGTTTGAGACACATTTGTTTCTCCAGACTATGTGAAACTGAATTCTAGTCTTTATATTATTTCTACAATGTATGCCTTCTAACCAGTTTCTGTGCGGGTGAAGGAAGAAGAAAACCAGCCATGGAAAGAGATTGTTAAAAATTAAATTATACTACATAACAAAATGGATGAATGATCATGCTATATCTTAATTGCAGAACTGTATTATGTAAAAAGAACCCTTGAGAAAATGTTAAACCAAGGATGGCTTCTTCCTGTCATCTAGCATATCTTTCCATTACCTGTTAATACATACTTAGAAAATGCAAACTAATTTTCATGGCAGCCTAAGCCAAATAAATACATGTATGTAAATCTAATGCTATTTATAGCAAAAAAGAAGAAGGAGGGGGAAGGAGGGGAAAGAGGAGAGAGAAGACAGGGAAGAGGAGGAGAAAGAGGTGTAGGGACACATGCCTTATCCAAAGCTAATTATTATTTGGATTTTCTAGTTTACTTACTACAGGACAATGCTATAGCTCTCTGAACATAAATGGTTAAGGATTATTCACTGTTTTGTATTATAGGTTACTCAATTCTATTAACCAGATAGGAGATGCAAGAATTCATTAATTTTTTAAAAAGTGCCTTTAAAATGGATTATTATATAATACTGGGGGTTAACATATTCATAAAATGATACAATTTTTCTATTTGCTTACCTCTGACATATCATGTACCAGCAAGAGAGGAATGCTTATTGTTGTGATGTCATGGGTACAGCAAACCTTGAGTATATTTCGGAGTCCCATAATGGCAGGATCACGAGCAGTGATGTTTCCCGATTTCACGTGGTCATCCACACAAAGATGGAAAGCAACGTGGATTTCTGAGAGATTAGAATGCCGTGTGATATAAAATTCTCCTGTGAACAATAAATACAATCATGATTATCAAGTGCTGAAGTCACATTCATCAATGGGCTTTATACATAACTGTGATGGCCAATCAATGTGTTGAACTACTGGGGTGTATCACGAACATTTACTGGGCTCAGGAAGCAACTGTGATTACTGCTCCTTAATTTCTTGAAGAGAAGCTAATGAAAATAAGAGACAATAGTCAATTTTGCAATAGGTTCATAAATTGGTATGAAGTGACCACCAAGTAGTGAATAAATCAAATGAGTACTCATCTTTATTTTGATGTAAATGCCTACAATGTTTTTTTTTATTTATATATTTTTTGACTCTCGCTCTGCTGCCAGGCTGGAGTGCAGTGGTGTGATCTCGGCTCACTGCAACCTTCAACTCCCTGGTTCAAGTGATTCTCCTGCCTCAGTCTCCCAAGTAGCTGGGATTACAGGTGACTGCCACCACCATGCCCAGCCAATTTTTGCATTTTTAGTAGCGGCGGGGTTTCACCATGTTGGCCAGGATGGTCTCCCATCTCCTGACCTCGTAATTCACCTTGCTCTGTCTCCCAAAGTGCTGGGATTACAGATGTGAACCACCACGCCTGGCCTAAAATGTCAAATTTAACATGTAAAAAAGGTTACTTGTTTTTTCCATGCCCTAAATCTGCTCTTCCTCCTCTCAACTTATGAGACTGATCTGTCCAGTTAGTTGCTTAGGACAGAAAGATAGGTGTCCTTAATTCCTTTGCTTTCCCTCAATGCCTATCACCCCATCCACAATCCAATCTACCACCAACTATTTTCAGTTCTATCTATAGAACAGCCCAAATCTGAGTATTCCACTTTTATTGGTGTTACCCCAGTTCACACTACTGTAATTTTTCACCTAGGTTTTTGTAATATTCTCTTAACTGATCTTACTCCCTGCTTGCTCACCTATAAACCAACTCTTCATATAGTTACGACTTAAATATAAATCATATTATATCCCTCCCCTACTTAAAATCATCCAACAGGCTCATACTGTAGTGTTCAGAAAAAAATCCAAACTCTCTATCATGGTTTAGAACAAGGGTCCCCCATGGACTGTTACCGGGCCATCACCTGTTAGGAATCGGGCTGCATAGCAGGAGGTGAGCAGCCAGCAAGTGAGTGAAGCTTCATCTGTATTTACAGCCGCTCCTCACTGCTTGCATTACCACCTGAGTTCCACCTCCTTTCAGATCACTGGCAGCATTTGATTCTCACAGGAGCATGAACCCTATTGTGAACTGCACATGTGAGGGATTTAGGTTGCACACTCCTTATGAGACCCTAATGCCTGATGATCTGTCACTATCTCCCACCAACCTCAGATGGGACCATCCAGTTGCAGAAAAATAAGCTCACGGCTCCCACTAATTTGATCTTATGGTGACTTGTGTGATTATTTCATTATACTTTACAATGTAATAATAACAGAAATAAAGTACACAATAAATTTAATGTACCTGGATTATCCTCAAACATTCCCAACCCATGGTCTGTGGTAAAACTATCTTCTAAGAAACTGGTCCCTGGTGCTGGTGCCAAAAAGTTAAGGCCTAGATGACTTGAACCCTGCCTCTCTCTCTAATATCTTCTTGTCTCATTCCCTTTCCTCACTCCAGTTACATAGGCTTTTGCTCAGTCCTTCAAGCATGCAGAGCTTGTTCCCAATTCAGGCTGCTGCCTGGAGGGCTTTTCTCCAAGATTCTCACATGGCTGACTTCCTTTCATCAGTCACATCTCAGATCAAAAATCACCTCCTCAGAAAGGTCTTCCTTGACTTCCTATCTACTAATGGTCTCCTCCACCCTTCACTCTTTCACCTGATTTGGTTTTATTTTCTTCTTAGCACTGCCATTTTTTTGTGTACATATTATTTTAAAGAGCCCACTGTGTACATGCCACGATTACAGGGATTTTTTCTATCTTGTTAAATGTTCTATCTCTAGCAAGTAGAACAGCACCTGGCACGTAGAAGGTACTCAATAAATATCTGTTGAATGAATGAGTATTTTAGGCTGAACATTGGAGCAGTCTATCTCAAACATTAAAGTAAAATCCATGCTTCCTACCGTCACTTTTTTTTTAACGCAGCCCCACAAACCAAGAAAAATCTCATCAGCTTTTAGTTTCTGTAGTTCCTATCAATATAGAGAAACAAAACAGAAAACATAGAAAGGATATGTTCTTACCAATACATATACCTCACTGGAGATTCTGATAGGCCTTCTGGGAAAGGTCTGCGTATCTCTACTCTCCCACTCTTAACCTTTGCCGTCCCAAATTCCACTCCCCCTTGTGTCAACATCATTATCTTAGGATCTAATTATAAACATACAGTATGCTTAAAATACTTAATATACTTTAGCCCTATGGTTAACTTTTCTAGTTACCAGTGTGTATCAGCTGTATCCATAGATGCCTCTGAAAGGTCCCAGGCAAAGATATTTTTATTTTTTATTTTAACTTGAACAAGATAAAGGAATTAGATAAACAGAGAAGGAAATTAAAGGAGAGCGACAGATATATCACAATAAACTGCACAAAGTGAAAGTAAGAAAGAAAACTAGTGAGGAATAGTTAGTTATAATTTTCCAGGAAGGCAGCAAAAGACACAGACTGCTTATCAGAAACCCGGTGGACTATGAGACAATATCCTTCTGGGCCCAGTGAAGTTTATTACCTTCTAAACTGCTACTGATAATTCAGATGATGGAAGTCATAGCTTTAGATATGGGCCATGATCCAGGAGTATGGCAGAATGACTTAGTGAACAAGTCAGGTGCTCCTAATCCCCAAATTGGCACTGCTTTCTTTGACCTTCAATGACTTGTTTCTTGGCCTAATTTTACCCATTAATAAAATGGGGGCCATGGGGCTGGCAGTAGTAATCAAATTAATATGATGTAGTAGAAAAAGAACTAGATTGGACGTTAAGAAGATCTGATTTCTAGCACTTACTGACTGAGTGATCTTCGGCAAATCAATTCAACTTATTGATCCTCTGTTACTTAGTGGATGAGATGGGAAAAATAATGCTGACTGCTTTCCTTATAAGGTTATTATGAGAATTAGATTACATAAACTGTAAATACTTAGATCATGGTTAAGTCAAGTATGACTGGCCTACAAATATATAAATAAAACTATTTTTCTTTGCAATTTAAAAGTTAAAATAATTTTTGATTTAGATTTTTTTCCAACTCCTGTAAACATCCTAGTTGTGTAGGTATACTTTAATTAAATGGAAGTTAAGATGCTATTATCTCAAACTGAATATATTACTTTTCTAACTCAGACTTATGATATATCCTTCTGACTTGGTACTAACACAGAGATAAAGTATACAAATAAGACAGTCCATGTTATGTTCTGTGATACAAACACTATTAAGGGTCATCAGAGTGAATTCAATCAGAAAGAGGATTGAGAGACTGAATTCCCAGTTGTTAAAAAACCTAATAGGTTTTTTCCAAAAGATGCTAGGGAAGGAAATACAAATAGCAACAAAGAGTTACATTTAAAAATCAGGCAGACATTGGTTCTTCCAGAGTGGTAATAAGACTGGCACATTTTAAGAAAGACACAAAATATGGACGGTTTAAATTACGGATCTATGAAGAAAAATACAATAAATACTTCACTGAAGGTATTTTTAGATGAAGAGGAAGATGGTTTCCTGTCCCACACAGTGGAGGAAACAACACGTGGTGATTCTAATATTACCCACTAAGGTGGAATACCTGAAGGTGAAAGCAAATTTCAAGGCTGATGATTACAGGCTAATGGACAGGGCCTGACAAAATGAATACCAGAAATGAGTATAGTATTTGCTTAGATTAAGTGTAATGTGTTGAGTGACAGTGGAGATACACACACACACACACACACACACACACGTGTGTGTGTGTATCTCCACTGTCAAATGTGACCTACATGTCAAAGATCTGGGGAAGAAAATGTGAGAAAATTACCTTAAAGGAGAATAAAAAACTATCAGGAGATGGCTATTTCTGAAACTGTAAAATGTATCACTTAGTTAAAAAATTTTATAATACATACAAATAGTCCTTGTTATGCTCTGTGATACAAACACTAAGGGTCATCAGAGTGAATTCAATTAGAAAGAAGACTGAGAAACTGAATTTTCAGTTGTTAAACAACATATCTAGAATAATAAAGGAAATAAAATGGAAAGCAGAAAAATGTAAGGGGAAATGAAAATAAAATTCTAAATGAGATGACCCACTTTATATTTAAATTCAACTGTTTATATAGCTATGTACTACTGTTCATATTTTACTTGTTCTTAGCTATATGGCATTATTTCTTAAGAAACTAAGAAACAATGTATAAGAAAAAATTTACAATAGCACATAATAAAACTTAGGTAACTTCTTGAGCAATTTTTCTTTTATAGATCCAGAAAGAAAGTCAGTACTAGTATAATATTAATAATTAAGTTTTAGGCAGGCCCAGTGGTTCACGCCTGTAATCCCAGCACTTTGGGAAGCTGAGGCAGGAGGATCACTTGAGGTCAGGAGTTCAAGACCACCCTAGCCAACATGGTGAAACACCGTCTCTACTAAAAATACAAAAAAATTAACTGGCTATGGTGGCACAGGCCTGTAGTCCCAGCTACTCAGGAGGCTGAGGCAGGAGAATTGCTTGAACGTGGGTGGCAGAGGTTGCAATGAGCTGAGATTGCGCCAGTGTGCTCCAGCCTGGGTGACAGAGCAAGACTCTGTCTCAAAAAAACAAACAAAAAAATTAAGTTTTACACTGGGGAACATCTGTGAAAGTGTATTATAGAGGTACAAAGTGTTGTTTTAAAGTGATTTAATGACATATGCTAAAATTAAAGATTTAAAACATAAATTCCTATGGTATATATTATAAAATGTTTTTGGTGTAAGAAAATAATAATTTGAAATAAAAAAAAACATACTCACCAGGTAAAACATTTAAATAGTTCCTCTCAGCATTCTTAGTCTTATCATCATTTCCTCCATTTTGGTTTCCAGAATCTATTCACAAGACAATGCAGTATGAAAGAACATAACAACATATGAGAACATGTTACTATGACTGCTCCCAAAAGAATCACAGAAACAACAAAAATTCTCTGAGGGCATCTATGTGCCAGGCATTCTGCTACATGCTTTACATGGATGATCTCATTTAATTCTTACAAAACCTCTAAAACCACAGCCCTGGGAGTAAGTCCTACTACTATGTCCATTTTATGTATGAGGAGACAGAGGTTTGGCTAGGCTAACTCACTTAACCAAGCATGCACAGATAAGTGGTGGAGCCTGGTCTTGAATTCACATACTCAGATTCTCTTATGGTATTAATCACATTAGACATGTCAGTATCCTATTTTTCATCTGGGAGGTTCAGGGAACCAAGTTAATCACACATAAAATACCTTCATTAGGTAGTTGTGGTGTGGCCATCTTTATCTTTAGATTCGGAGTCACTGTTGTTGATACAACTTGTTCAGACTACAGATAAATGGCTAGTGGCATCAGGAATCACTGTATATTTAGCCCATTCCTGAAATTTATTTCCTATCTAACACTATGCACAATTATAAGATAGGTGAAACTGTCTCACATGGAACTTTTTTTTCAGCTATTTGACAGTTTCTCTTCTTTTTTGAAGGCATGCTATTTCTTAGAAGAATAAATGTTGGTAAAATTATGTTGAACATACATTATAAAGATTGAATGCAAATTATTTTACATCTTTTAATAAAAGAGACATCTGAACTTTATAAGAATTGCATCAGAACTCACAAATGCAAACTGAATATTTGAGAGGTTGCATATTTATTCCAATTAAAACTATTTTGGAATCTATTTCAGAATGGCTTTCAGCATCAGAAAATCACATGACAACAGACCTTCAAATGAATAACCTGCAAATATCAAAATTTTATAGTTTTAAGAGAGATCTGAATAAAAGTAACAATATTTTTATCTCGTGACTACTTTGATAAATTGATTTATAACATTGTACCTTGTAAATGCACATATGTTATAAATCAAGAGTCAGAGAGATAGGCACAGAGAAATAGAAGGCTCTGTGTTGCTGGAATCTATATTTAATGAAATATTATTTCTAATACAGAGCCATGTGGTTGATAGGCTTTGAATAAGTATCTCATCATAGCACAGATTACAAGAAACAATAAAGGACTCTAATCTTGTTCACATGGAGTATGAACAAATGGAAGCTATGTTAAGTAAACAAGAGAGAACAGTTCATAGTCCATTTCCCTTTCATGTTTTCATGGCAACATCTTGTTTAGTAACAGTAACAAGATGGCTAGTTTTATTTTTTTTAAAGTATATAAAATGTGCATAAAAACAATTTTTGACTTTTTATCATGGACCACAGAAATATAAAGATGTTAATATAACAACCAAAATAAGAAAAGTAATGCAACATCTTAGAATAAACAAGTCCTTGCAAATCAAGATGTAAACTTGCAGAATATGTAGGCGTGCACAGAAAAAGATGGAGAAGGTATTTTCACAAAGTTCTTCTATAACAACATGCAGCTTTCTTTAAGAAAGTCTTTTATAAACCTACTTGCATCACTGACTCACTGAAACCACAAAGTAGTTGCTTGAACAAGAACAAAATAAAACCATGATATACACGCAATGCTTTAGCCGTGTGCGGTTTAACAACTTCCTGTCATTTACTGCACACTTTCTATCTCTCACACATATACTTAGAATACTCCTCCTCCTTCCACACCTGTCATAATCTCCATCTTCATGCTTTTACATACTACTAAGAATAATGTTAAAATGTTTCTGATCACATCACTGCTAGTTTCAATGAGAAGGAAGCTGGTAGAAGAATAAGAGGGTATACTGAGATTTTCTGATAGGTTATGTTAGGATATATTTCTATAGTGATTTTCTAATACTCAGCACCTTTAGTGCGAATATAAACTGGCAGAAAAACTATACAGAGTAATTGCCAAGGCTATGAAAAGTATAAATGTATGTGTCCTTTAACCCAGGAATTCATCTTCAGGAATCTCTTCTGTAGATATGCTTACTGCTCACACACATGCACAATATGCAAAGTTATTTGTCATTACTAGACATTACTGCTTATAATAACAAAAATGAGGAACAGATCAAATGTCTATTAGTAGGGGACTGATTAATAACAGGATATCCTGCAATGGACTACTATGCAACAGCATAAAAGTATGAGGATGGTCTTTACGGACTGATACAAAACGAGCTCCAAGAGAAATTACTCAGTGAAAAAGGCAGAGTACAGAATAGTGTATGTAGAAAGCTGCCATTTGTGTGAAAAAGGAAAATAAATACATACATACACTTGCTTATACATACATAAACATCTGTCTAGAAGGTACATGTGATAGCACTGGCTGCCTCTGAAGAGGGAAACTGGATGGCTAGAAACAGAGTTAGGGACACTTTCACTGCATGCTCTTTTGTAGTTTGAATTGTGAATCTTGAGAATGTTTTACCTATTTATAAAATGGTTAAAAACATATAAACCATTTTTTAAAAGTTTATTGAATAGATAAGGAAACTGTATTGAACCCTAGTCAAGTTATGACTAGATAGCCACATTCCAGTTATAGGAGAAAGGAAAGAATTCTATAATTTCTGGGAGTGAAAAAGATGGGAGAGGGGAACAAAGAGACTTCAGAAAGGTCTTCCTTACACCAAGCAAAGATATAATATCTTTCTGCACCTGTACAACACAAAACTTATGTACCTAAAGTACTATAATGGTTTCTTTTAAACACAGCAGGTGCAAACAAAGTAAGGAAAGAAAGAATAAAATCATTCAAAGTACCAGAAGCAGATTTAAACGTGCAAACATCCCCAATTTTAAAACTTGCCATGTTTTATTTCCTGGGCACCAAACATCAGGTTTTTACAAGAAATAATAAAATACTGGCCAGGTGCAGTGGCTCACACCTGTAATCCCAGCACTTTGGGGGACTAAAGCCGGGGGATCACATGAGACCAGGAGTTCGAAATCAGCCTGGCCAACATGGTAAAACCCCATCTCTATTAAATATACAAAAATTAGCTAGGCATGAGGTACACATCTGTAATCCCAGCTACTGAGGAGGCTGAGGCACGAGAATTGCTTGAGCCTGGGAGGCAGAGGTTGTGGCAACTGAGATCATGCCACTGCACTTCAGCCTGGATGACAGAGTGAGACTGTGTCTCCAAAAAAAAAAAAAAAAGAGAGAGAAATAATAAAATACTCCGTATACATTCAAGCCAGACAAGAGCGTGCACTGTAATTTTATGTCTATGATATATGAAGTGTAAGGAAAACACATCTTAAAAATATTTGAAATGACTATTACCTTAATATTTAGGTTCTAACTAAAGAAACCTATGGTACCAATTTAATTTACAAAGAAATCACTCTTCAAATTTTCATTTTTCAATTAAAAGCCAGCTGAATTACTCTGTGATTCCAGCCAGAGATTTTTCTTTTACCTGTCTTCCCTTAACCCTCTTCCTATGCAGATAGAAAGCTTGTGAAGAAAGATGCCATTAACCCTTTCAATAGCTTTAAAAACCATTTCCAGGACGGACGGTTCTCAAAAAATTAAAAACAGAACTATCTTATATGATCCAGCAACTCCACTTTAAGGTATATATCCAAAGGAAATGAAATCAGTATCTTAAAGAGTTATCTTGATTTGGGCATTATTTGCAATAATCAAGATACTAAAAACATACCTAAATGTACACACACACACAGAATATTATTCAGCCTTAAAAAAGAAAATCCTGCCATTTGCAGCAACATGGATGGATCTGGAGGATACTAAGCATCCTGGAGGATGCTAAGTGAAATAAGCCAGACACAGAAAAACAAATATTATATCATCTCACTTATACTTGGAACCTAAAATAGTTGAACTCACATAGATAGAGAGTAGGTGGTTACCAGGGCTGGGGCTGGGGGGAAATGGGGAGATTTTGGTCAAGGAATACAAAGTTTCAGCCACAGATGAATAAGTTCTGGAAATCTCATGTATGACAATGTGATTATATTTAACAATATTCTAATGTATACTTGAAATTCATTAAGAGGATAGATCTTAAGTGTTCTCACCATGGACATAAAAAAGTGGCAACTATCTGAGGTAATAAAATCGTTTGAAGTGATTATTTTACAGCATCTGTGCACATTGAATCATCAAATTGTATATCTCAAACACATACAATCTTTAATTATCAAATACATCTCAATAAATTTAAAAAATTTTTTCTGTAAATTTCCTAAACAGAATGTTATGTTATGAATAAATATAGAAAAAACAGTCATTTAAGGATACAGTGATTTTTTTTAAAAAGAACCAAAAATAATTCATTTAACTGACTTCATGCTACTTAAGTCAGTCAAAGATATAACATACAATGCTCTGGTTTTTCTTCATAACAAGTAAATCTTTTACCTTTTACTAAAAATTTCCATGGGGAAGAACAATTATGAGTTTATAACCAAATTTTTTGAAGTCCTGCTTAGGCAGGGCTAAAAAAGAAAAAAAAAAGATACACAAAAAGTATATATTTTGTGCTACCTTTTACTCTGTTTCCAGTCCCCTCTGTAGTAATAACTGTGTCCACTTCAAAGATATAGAACTTGGATCAAAAGATCACCAACTTTCCACTGAGTACCTATCTCAAGTATAACTATAGTACTGAAAATTAACAATAGTTTTCACTAAGAACCTTGAAGAAAATCATCCCCCGAAAAAAGAAAATTAGGCACAGAGTTCAAGCTTCTAAAGATCTGGGTATATATCCAAAGGAAAAGAAATCATTCTATATAAAGATACATGCACGCACACGTTCATTGCAGCACTATTCACGATAGCAAAGACATGGAATCAAACCAAATACCCATCAATGATAGGCTGGATAAAGAAAACGTGGTGTATATATACACCATCGAATACAATGCAGGTATACAAAGGAATGAGATCCTATCCTTTGCAGGGACATGGATGGAGCCGGAAACTGTTATCCTCAGCAAACTAACGCAGGAACAGAAGACCAAACACCACATGTTCTCACTTATAAATGGGAGCTGAAGGATCAGAACACATGAACACATGGTGGGGAACAACACACTGGGGCCTGTCAGAAGAAGGGAAGAGCATCAGGAGGAATAGCTAATAGATGCTGGGCTTAATACCTAGGTGATGGGTTGATCTGTGCAGCAAACCACCATGGCACACATTTACCTATGTAACAAACCTGTGCATCCTATACATGTACCCTGGAACTTAAAACAAAAGTTGAAGGAAAAAAAAATTAAGAAAAACAAAAATACATTTTGATGGTCTTTTTAAATTAAAAAAAAAAAACTAAAAAATATCTTAAATTTTGTTTTTAATTTCCTTCTTCTATCGTCTATAGAATTTTCTATATGATCTTAATGATGATCCATGTGCTATTACATTGATTACAGACAGAACATAATAAAAGTGAGTTTTCACCCACCAAGTGATTCTTTCAACTTACTCCTCCGCTGGGTTCTAGCATAAAGGACCACCTGTTGAACAACTTCTAATTGTTCTTCAATTCGGGGAAAATGGAAGTCAGTGCATTCTTGGCAAACTGTGGCAAAATCTAAGGGACCCAAAACATTTACAAACTTCTAAATGTAAATATCAAATATTTAGTATTTACTTACAGACAATGAGATTTAGTAGAAACAGAAAATAATACAAGTATGATATCTTATACTTGTCCTTTAAATAATTATGCTTTAAGTTAGGGCATAACAATTTCGTTTTAATTAGAAACTTAACCTCTCAATCACTCAGAAGAGTAAACAATTAAGAGACAAAGAAATGTTAACATAATTCTAGGTCTTCTTTAAATAATACTTTGATCATAATCTACCCCAAAAGGTGCTACAAAATATGAGAAGGTTTTTATATTTATGAAGGAAAATAAATTCTATTTAAGCTTCTTTCAAGAATAGGTATACATTTCATATATTTTATATATTTTACATCTTACATATTTAGAAATTTAGAAATAATCATAAAAAGTGAGTTGTACTAAGAGGGAAGGTAGAATTTTACCTAGCAAATTTAAGAGGTACGTTATTAAAAAAAAAAAAAATAGAGAGAGACAAATGGATCAGCTAAAAATCACCAAGCCAGGATTTGCTTCTAAACTGAAAACACGTGATTGCTCTTTTTGTTTTACCTTGTAATGAGATTTCTATAAGAACATTATTTATAATATAATAGCATTTTAAGAAAAATAAATATCATGAAGCACTCTATCAGTGCTACAGTTTGAAATAAAATAACTAGGGCTGAGTATGTTTTTTTGGTCTACTTGAATGTTAAGGTGATTAAAATTTTTTTTCAGTTTCCCCATAATTCCTTTCTTTGTAAGAATGGTGTTACAGGGTGAAATTTAACAAAATAAATGTGTATGATGGTAACTTACCTCTTTTAATACCACTATATGAATTAATTCGATTATCCACTAGTAAAACCAGGCCACAGAGAGATGTAGAATAAAGCGACAGTGCTGTTTGGAGCCGATGAAGTTTCACACCACTTCGATGATTTCTTTTATGCTTACAGAAGTCCAGCATATCTGCTCTCAGCAATCTCAAATTATGCATGGTCTTCAACTGGGCTCCTGGGGGTGGCAATAGTCCAGGAAAGATACTTAAACAGCTGCAAGAAGTCCAGTATAAGAGGATGCAAATCTCTATGGCAAGACTCCAGATAAATCTATAATACAAAATAATTAAAAATGGGCCTTGCAACTTCCCATTTTAATGACTATTTCAATTTAATCTTTCTATCTGCAAAAAAAATTATATAAGCTAAAATACAAAACTTAAAGCCAATAACCTATAGTCTTTCTTAAAGCAAAACATGATCTGGAATTCAAAATAATATAGGTATACTCTACTCATACGCTAGGGATTTTTCTCTTACAGTATATACAAAAAGTTTCAGTGGCCAGGAATGGTGGCTCATGCCTATAATTCTAGCACTTTGGGAGGTCAAGGTGGGAGGATTACTTGAGCCTAGGAGTTCAAGATCAGCCTGGGCAACATGGTGAAACCTTGTCTCTATTATTTAAAAAAAGACTTCAGAAGTTACAATAAATTATAACTGCAAAAAATTAATACACTTACCTAAGTGAATGGTAAAACTTTCTTCTAACTTTCTCTGTTCCTCATAAATTCTTCCAATTGCTTCTACAGATTCTCTGAACTGACTTGGTTGAACTTTAATTTCCTCACTGAAAGTAGTAAAATTATTGATATACTTTTAAGTTGGTCAAGAACTTTTCTTAAAGGAAAGTTTTATAACAAGAGAAAACTGAACAGCTGAAAGTCTTGCTTAATTTTTTCTTAAACTCATCCTTAATCCATGGTGACAAGTTAAGACCGTTAAGTGCTAACAGGCTCTAAAATTCCCGCTTGTTCTTTCATTTCCTCACAATAAATAAAGCAGATTATTATTTTCAATCATTATGCCAGTTAATATATTGCCATTTAACATTTTTAGCAGCCTAAGAGAATGATTAAATAAAGTGATTAACTTATTAGTTTAAAATCACATTTTAAAATATATAATACATCCTATGCTAGGGCTAGCTCTAGGCAAAATTAGAAAATAGATGAATAAGAATAACGATTTAACATTAAAGTTAAATAAATAATAAAAAAGATTAAGTTCATTTTGATGCATACACATCCTTTATTTTCACCATTTCTTGTTTTTTACCTTCAACATTCTCCTCCCACTAAACTGCCTTTCTCTCCCCTCCTCTTTATAGTTCCTAAAAAGCCTTCCACAAAACAGCAATAACTGTTATCACTGTTCAATTCAAACAGTGGTATGCTGAAGATGATGCAAGTCTGTAAGAGTCACCCATTTCCCTGGCTAAATTTTTGGGGCTAATCCCAATAGCCCCATTAGACTCAGTGACGGACTTCATTAGCAAATAGGGTAAATTTAAACCTAGCCAGATAATCTACAACAGGAGACTCCAACCTCTTCCACCACCACCCCACCCCCCCGCCACCCCTGCAGGCAGCAGGTGAGTGAGCATTGCCACCTGAGTGCCATCTGCCATCAGATCAGGGATTGGCGGCAGCACTAGATTCTCATAGGAGCATAAACTGTAATGTGAACTGCACATGCAAGCGATCTATGTGCTTCTTGTGTAACAGTTTCATCCCCAAACCCTTCCTGTCTCTCCTGGAAAAAAATTGTCTTCGAGAAAATGGTCCCTAGTGCCAAAATGGTTGAGGACTGCTGATCTACAAAATCACACTTTTCTGGAGTTCATCAAAGATTTGTGATAATAAGGCAATCTAGTAAACTGAATTTCAAACTGTGATATATCCCTCCAAGGACAGACAAGACACATAAAGAGTTTTATCTTTGTTAGAGCATAGCTGCAATAGAATGCTGTCATACAAGGGGCTAAAAAGAAAGCAGCTACAGTTTTAACAGATTCTTAAAGGCCAAGTGGGCTAGCACATAAAGTTAGAATAGGTCAGAGCCACAGGCACATGAACTTGCAAACTCTTTTCCATTGGCCTCCATCAGGTATTTCCAGAAAAGACTGAGGGCAGAAGACAAGAGAGCCTTCTCAATGGCACAGACAGAAATGCTGAGAATCAAGATAGTGAGTTGAATGGTGACTCTGTCTCCCAGGCGTTCCAGGTACCAGTTGAAATGGTACCCAGATTTGTGTGAGTTTTTGTGCGGAGACCCACTGTGCTGGCTGAAACAGCCGTGCTGGAAACTCATGGCACTTTTCCACCCAGGAATCTCTTGGTCTGTGGGCAGTAAAACCTCGTTTGGAAATGCAGTGATCACTCACCCTCTGCATTCTTGCTGGGAATTGCACTCCAGGGCTGTTCCTATTTGGCCATCTTGAATCTGTCCTGCCAGGGATAACTTTTTTTTTAAGAGACAGTTTCTTACTCTTGTTACCCAGGCTGGAATGCAGTGGCATGCTCATGAAGAGATAACTTTTACAGCAAGGGGCTTTCACAGCTTCCTTAAATCAGTAGCTTTCAATGTTTCTGACTACAATATACAGTATATATTTTACATTTTGGCTAAATACAACATGTTCATTTATAGAAAGCTTCTTGTATGATGCACTCTGATTTTTTTTTTCCTATTCTATGCTATTGGTATTTTTAAAAGGCTGGTTGAAAAATAAGAGATGTAAAATGGGTCATAGCAGGCTGCAACAAACAGTTTGGGGAAAACAGTGACACAAATGAAAGATTGTAATAGATAAGAGATGATACAGATGTCGGGTAAAGAGTCAACAATAACCTATTCGTCTGTTCATCCATCCATCCCATAAATTTTTGCTGAGCATGTATTATAGTGTCAAGAGGTCAAGGGCTAAACGCTTGCCAAGGAGCTGGGTATATGACCAAAAAAAAAAAAAACCAAAAAAAAAAAAAAAAAACCAGATATGAGACTGACCTTATATAGATAAAATGCTATTTAAAAATATTTATAGTATACACTGGCATATGCTAGAAATAAGAGTATTATACTGTACTCAGTATATTTACAATTGAGTATACTTAGAGATTTGACAAAAATTAATTCTCAAACATACAGATACATGGCCAAGAAATAACATAGGCATGGTCAAGCTCTAAGGGAATATGTGAAACACAATTTATTTAGGCCATGAGATGCCACACAAGTTATGATTTATGAGAAATCCTCCGCACTATTTCTGTACCTTCTACATGCTTCTGTTACTGCACATACCACTCTATAAAGTATCATTTTATTTATAGATCAGTCTCTCTTTCTAGAATATAAACTCCATATAGGCAGGTATCTTTTTTGTTTTTCTGCTTAGAGAATATTTGGCATTCCACCAATGTTTACTGCATGCAGTAGAAACTAAAGAAATGAAGATAGTATTTAAGTATTTAGGTATATGTATCTAGAACATAAAAGAAAGTTCTATTTCAAACTAATCATAACCCTTGCGGCCCAAATAATCCACCTAAATCCTATAATGCAAAAAGTAGTAAAAGAAGCATAAAATTATCTTGAACTTTCACTGGCAACTTAAAAATACATATAGCTAAAAGGTTTAACTTTGTAGTAAATATAAACTAACAATGGACTATTACATGAATAAGAACAATACATAGCTAATACCTAAGGGAGCTGTTGTTGGGGTTTTTTAGGTCTTGGTGAAGTTTTATTACCCATTCTTGATACTCTTGTTTTTGGATGGCAGTTGATTGTTTTAATTCATTCGACCATTTATTTTCCAGGTCCTAAAAGAAACAGTGTACCATTTGGTTAATTTTTTTTAACCAACTACATAAATAAATAAAAGGAAATGCAACTGTATACCTAAAAGTCACCATATTTCACTTACTTGCTGAGATTCAAAATGCTGAGCAGCCAGTGAATTTACATCTTGATCTGTCAGTGACTTTCCCAATTCCTGCATCACTTTTTCCATTTCAATACCTTGTCTAAAACACAAATAAGCAAATCAGGAATATCCATCAAAGTTTCAAGGTATATGATCCTTCAGATTCATTGAACAATCTCTATAAAGTGAAAATAAAAATTTTATTTTATTTATGTCCAGGAATGAGAATTATAACTGGAAAGTACTTAGAATCCTTGGAAATGGAGACTAGCAAATAATGATGATAGTGTCATATAACAGCAACATCATCTGTGCAGCTAAATTTTAACCTAAATTTACTGCATAAATGAAAGCGGTCAAAATCTAAGTTACCTTTCAATTACCATGGCTAATGCTAAAAACGCTGGATCCCTTTTTACCTGCAAATTTCCTCAAAGAAGAGGGTCTGCAATTTCAGCTTAAATGGATTTTCTATTTGTATATAAACTGAAGTGTCTTCAGCCTCTGAAAGTTAGTTTACATTATATCCAGAAGCAGACAATTAGATCCTAGGAGTCAAATTATTATTAAGTCATCAAATTTACAGAGGGATGTAAAATACAGTCTAAAGATGTTGGTCACATCTTCTGCATTTATCCAAATAAATAATGTGTACAAATTAAAAATAGTTTTCCCTACAGGAAAAACTAATCAATGGTGTTAGAAGTACAGATAATGGTTATTTATGAGGGAACGGTTGAAGGACTACAAGTGCATGAAAGAGGCCTCTGTAATGCTGGAAATATTCTATTTCTTGATCTGGGCAATGGTTACATGATTGTGCTTAACTTGTGAAAGTTTGCTGAGCTGTAAAACCTAGAATCTGGTTTGCTTAAAAAAAAAAGGCACATTTCTTTGTTGCCTTTTCTGTATGTATATTTTAATAAATAAGTTCATTAAAAAATTCAAATTAATGATTATCTTCTAATACAAACGTATGCAAAAACTTTGTTCTAAAACAAATTTCTAACAAACTGGGAAAGAACAAAACACAGACATAAACTAAAAGGATATCATCATCCTAGTTAATTCAAGTAAATTGCTCTTAAGAGTGAATTTATGGCTGGGCGCACTGCCTATAGTCCTATAATCCCAGCACTTTGGGAGGCTGAGGTGGGCAGATCACCTGAGGTCAGGAGTTCGAGACCAGCCTGGCCAACACAGTGAAACCTGGTCTCTACTAAAAATAAAAAATTAGCTAGGTGTCGTGGTGTAATTCTACCACTTGGGAGGCCGAGGTAGGAGAACTGCTTGCACCCAGGAGACGGAGTTTGCAGTGTCACTGCACTCCAGCCTGGGCAACAAAGTGAGACTCCATCTTAAAAATATATTAAAAAAAAGAGTGAATTTATATTTATTTTTAACATTGATTAAGATACTTATATATATGATAAATTAAATTCAAACAAGTTATACATGTATACATTTCCATATATACCTTCTGGTAGTAAATATTCAATATCATTTAAATCCCACTTAGTTCTAACGCAGATGACTCCATTAACTTTTAATAACTACTACAGGTCAAGTGAAAATTATGCTTGCAAGTGAGATTCTTATTTAGAAACAGAAATAACTGCTAAACATTTATAAATACAAAGTTAGTTATAAATATGTATTACTATCTTACATTACACATGTTCCCTCTAGTGGATAAAAGGTATCACTGCCATTTTTAAAGAAATACCTAGAATCTGGTTTGCTAAAAAAAAAATAAAAGGCACATTTCTTGTGAAGAAAAAAGAAGACAGATAGAAATTAAACAAATAAAATTTCACAAACATTTATTTCATCCTAAATATGTCCGAAATGCAACTTGCTAATCACATAATGATTCAATATATATTTTCTACAATTAAGATGGAAAGAAATTTTATTATATCTCAGATGAAATACTGAATACAGATTGGCTCAGTATGTCAGATGCGACAGCTATGGCAACTTGTATATTATCTTGAAGATATTTAAAGAAAAAAGATCATTATAACTTGTTTTATAGATGCTGTGCCAAGAAACTGTCTTTTAAAGATGTACAATAGCATTAATATGAATGGAGAAATAAGAAAATGTGTCACTTCTGCTCGTGAATTGGATAAATAAATTAAGTATCAAAATTTCAGGTGAACCTCCACAGACATGAGTGAATTTCAGCTTAAGTCATACTCTTCACCTTTGCAATAAATATACCTACCAGGGAATATAGCTTATTCTTCTTTTTCAGGCTAATGATTTGGACAAACGAAAAATAAATTACAAATGGTTTAAAAACAGATGAATTCAAGTATTATTTATATGTTTAGAAAGAAAAAAGAAGGCAAAACCCCATGAAGAAATATAGCAAAGATTAATTCAAACAATAAAATAAGCCAAAACAAACCTCTATTAAAAACTCTTCCATGAAAAAGCATAAAGTACCAGTAAATGAAGTGAATTAGTAAGTTAATTCAACTTCCCAAAAGACGAAGAATCATGTAGAACAGAAATCTTCTGAGTTAGAACAAGAAACAATTATAGACTATTAATGGCTAGATATAGAGTTTTCTGGGAGGTACAGGCAGCCAATTGTGCTGTAAGTTAGTCACTCACAGCTGAAAGTCCTACGAATGGAAGATAGGTAGCCAAAATTTCTCAATATACGCAAAGAGGCAGAATGAGTATAGTCACAGAAAACCTTAGAGCTAATAATAAATTCAGGATGAACTGAAGGTTATATTATTTGAAGGCCTAGGAGGAAAAATCAAACACATGAAGTTCGACAGAAAGTAATTAATTAATATCTACTTTTATGCATTTTTAAAAACCTAATTCTGTATTTTGTTCTTCTTTTTAAACTATATTCACAATTTTACTGGCTACACAATAAAGAACTAGAAAAAAATTTTGTTTTTCCTAGGGAAATATGCTTCTACTATATACCTAGTGACAACCACTCACTGCAGGTATCTCATCTAAAAGGAATAAACTGCCTCAATACAGCTGGTCAATAAAACCAAACCTATAAACAGTGACAAATAAAACATAGTGTTATTTTTGACAAAGAGATCATTCTAATATTTTACAAAGTATGAGAATAAATGGTCCAGAGGAGTACAATTGTTATGAAAATTTACAAATCTATGCAATATAATTAAAACGCTAATTTGGTACACAGAAGAGAGTATCCCTTGGGAACAATTATTAAATATATTTGCATTTTTTTTTTCTTAGCCATGACAATGCTCCAAAGAGTATTCGCATCTTGTTAGCCTTACTGTTTTCTAATGGGAAGCTAATGAGAATCAGGAACACACCGGCACATCTTTTTAGATTTACTCCTTTGGGACTATTAAATCAGTTATACTTAAAAAAAAAAAAAAAAGAAGAGAAAAAAAAAAGAAGTGATTTAGTCCTAATGTACCCTCACAATCAAATCAACACTAAAAAATTATCTTAATGGCATATAACCTAATATCTTAAATATGTGTTTTTAAGATAATAAATGTTGTTAGATTCTGCTATATTAAAATGGATTATCTAGAAGAACACATCCTGAATTCCTATCACAGTTTACATAGTTACTAGAAAGCAATCAAGGAAAACACTTATTATTTTAAAATAAATAATGCCAGAAGAAGTTTTTATCATACTCTGAAGAAAAAATAAATAATAGTAAAAGTACTATTTGTATACTGTGTTAAGTAATCCACACAGCAGGAATTCAAATCTAATTATAATTTCTTGGAACAATACTAGTGCTATTATTTTATCCTAATGTGCTTGAGTGTACAAAATGAACTGAAAGAGGCCGTGGAGTTAGAGGTTCTGAACAGGGACACAGAATCGTACAGTGGTTAACAGTTCCTGAAGTCAGATTTCAAATTCCAGCATGCCCTTGGACAAGTTACTTAACTTATTTAAGCAAAAACTTCTTCATCTGTAAAATGGAAATAATAGTAGGGTTATGGTAGATCAAATGAGACAGGACATCCAAAGCACTTTGCACAGTGCCTAGAACAAAGCACACCTTCAACAGAAGTAATCTATTCTTCTTATTAGAGATAAGAATATATCAGGCCACCAGCATCATTTATTTAGGTAAACCACTTAGAAAGTATATACTGTAAACCTATGAGGACCCTCCCAGTTGTAGTGACACATTTAAACATACAAGAAAATTGATTTCTAATATTGAAGTATTTTTTCTATCTTATCATTTCCGTAAAAAATAAAAGCAAGTTGTTCTGCAGGCCACCTATTTGACAATGTAACATTTAATTCTGATAATGCAAGACATTTGAAATACCTCTCTCGTAATTTTTTCAGCTCCACATCTCTTTCACCAATCAGTTCTGAGATACTAACAAAGTAATTATGTTCCAAATTTAAGAGAGTTTCAGAGGCAGGAGAATGAATTAAGTCATGGTAAACATCTGCAAAATCTTCATCCCAGCTGGGTTCTTCAGGCCTTGCATGCTCTAATGTAGTCTGCAAGATAATATACAGACATTCTTAAATCATGACATAGTATTTTTATTTAACACTACTAGAAAAGTATGTATATTATGATCCCATTTTTGTACATCAGACAATGACAAACTGATCTGTGGCAAGATCAGTTTCAGTAAATTGGTGAGTGTGGAAACTAGATGCCTAACAGCCTACCTGTCTGTCACTCACTGTGATTCCTGTAGAGCTTTGGCACCAAGTTTACAGATTTCCTCTCTGCCCCACATCCTGCCATCAACCTGGGTTACTTAGATATCCACGTGGATAACCCATCCAAGGCCCTGCTTCTTACTTTCCTGAACTCTACAATCTTTACTGTGGAGTCCCAATTAGGGAAAAGGAGTCAGGCTGGCAGGACCAGGGGAAAGCAAAAAGAGAAAGCAGATAAGCTCTAAGTCTGCCTTTCTTCATTGTCCAGACCAAGCTTGTCCAACCTGTGGCACAGGATGGCTCTGAATGCTGCCCAACACAAATTCGTAAACTGCAATTTTTTTTTTTAAAGCTCATCAGCTATTCTTCATGTTAGTGTATTTTATGTGTGGCCCAAGATGACTCTTCTTCTTCCAATGTGGCCCAGAGGAGACAAAAGATTGGACACCCCTGGTCCAGGCCATGTAGCCCTTCTGCACCCAACTTTCACCAGACACCTGCAAGTTAGCTGCAAGATTGGGGATATCAGTACTGCACGTACCACTCTACAGCATACAGTATAAACACTGTCCTTTAAAATCTCCAGCAAGCCTTTGTTTCCTTGAAGTCAGCTTCCCTTCTATGGCCTGCCCACTGCTTCCTCTCAACATACTTTCCTGCTTTCTCTAAGTCTACCTTTGTTTATCTACAGCTGTCTTGGCAAATTCTTTTACCCCTGCGCCACCAGCCCAGATAGTCATCGTTCATCTGCAACATTTACTAGTTCTCCACACCACCTCGACCATCCATTTAGTATCCTCACCAGAAACTCAGTCAGTCAGTATTCAAACATTCTAGTCTGACTATAACCTACACCCAAAAATTGTCACTCAGTACTTCCCAGGTAATTGATATTTAACCTCATTAGGATCTGCAATTCATAAATTCCTCAATGTTTTCATTTTTTTCTCAGCCATCAACTGCCACCTAGCTTCACTTCCTTCCCTATGTAGCTCACATCTTGTGATCTAGCATTCAGCCACTGTCATGCCAATATCCTTAACTTCCTTGACGGGTGGACTTTGTCTTACCCACTTAACAAAATCCTAATCTTATTTCTCTTCTCTGGGCCTGCAGTCAGGCTTCAGAGAGCTGCAACAGAAAAATCACAAAACTCTGTAAGTTTATGGTAACAAACAGGTACCACTCTTAATCTTGGCTTCATTGGTGCCTGGCAATCCTATCATTCCCTGCTCAGTTTTCTCCTCAAATATCCAACAATCTGATTATACCTACCACCTCATCTAAACAACCAACTTGTCTTTCCTTATATAAAGTTGAAACAATCAGAAGAGAATATTCTCGAATTCTTGCTACTAAATCAATAAAATTATCTGAATTTATATTCAACCTCTCCTGCTTCTCTTTGGCTATAACTGGAGAAGTATCTGTCTTCCCAGTTAAGATTAATTTTCCATTTGAATTCTGGATTCTATTCCTTCTAGTCCTAAACTCTGCCACCTTAAAAAACAAACCAACCTTTGATCTTGTTAGATAATAATGGCCATGAAAGATAAGGGGTGCTGAATGGTTTGAACCTTAAAGAAGCCAGGTGTTATGCCTGGAAGTAGAGGTGGAGAAATAATGGCCTGGACATGAACAGCTTTCTCTCTGCAGCCACTTCCTCAGTGCCCCATTCCTCTCAGCCATCACAGTCTCCTTTCTAGTAGCATCTGTCCTGAGGGAATGGTGTAAATTAGATCAAGGAAAAACTATACTTGGTTTCTCTCATGTAGGTATCTTCTACCTATTCATAAGGCTTTCCCTAGGCGGAGTTTAAAATTAATGCTGCAGATTTTTATAGCCAGATGATCTTGCAGTGGTGCTACTGAACATCTGGTGTTATGTGTGATTATGTAACTAATGCATGCAAGTTATTTTACCATACAGTATGTTAGAATATAAATAAAGGCTATTAGAAATCCCACTGTTCTGAAATAGCCACCATTAGCATTTTGTTGATCGTGTGTGTGTGTGTGTGTGTGTGTGATTTCACAGAAATGAGGTCATATCATATGCTTTTATTGTGGACGCTTCCTGTCCCTTCCTCCACATTAGTACCTTCTTCTCATTTTGCTTCCAGGTAACTTATTAAGAACTTAGTCTATATCTCTCCACATTTTTTTTCTATACTTAGACAATCCTATATAATACACACAAATATATTTACACACACATATGTAAAAGAGGGTCTTTCAGTCATTGTCTGATGTTATGAAACAGTATATTACTTAACTAGAAAATTATATTATGTGACTTTACAACAATAATGAAGATAAGTTTATAAAGGTAAACCAAAGATTAAATGAATTATTACTGCTGGTTTAGGGTTGCCAGATAAAATACAGAACAGCCACTTAAATTAGAATTTCAGATAAATCGTGAAAAATTTTTCAGTATAATTATGTTCCATGTAATATGTTGGCATACTAAAAAATTGGCTGGTGGCTCATGCCTGTAATCCCAGCACTTTGGGAGGTGGAGGTGGGTGGATCATAAGGTCAGGAAATCAAGACCATCCTGGCTAACACAGTGAAACCCCGTTTCTACTAAAAATACAAAAAATTAGCTGGGCACGGTGGCATGCAACTGTAATCCTGGCTTCTTGGGAGGCTGAGGCAGGAGAATCGCTTGACCGTGGGAGGCAGAGGTTGCAGTGAGCCGAGATTACGCCACTGCACTCCAGCCTCGGCAACAGAGTGAGACTCCATCTCAAAAAAAATTAAAAAAAAAAAATCATTGATCTGAAATTCTACCTTAACTGTGTGTCCTGTATTTTTAATTACTAAATCTGGTGACCTTATTCTGGTGAGATATATAAAAGTAGCCTCTTGTTTTACAAAGGTATTACATAAAAAGCATTTTGTCTTATGTGTTCACCCTGATATAGGAAGCACTGAGGCGGCAACATATATATTATAGAATAAATATTGGTATGTGGAGAAAAAGGATCTTATAACTATTTCAGGATTACCATAGCATTTAAAAAATTCTCACCAAAATCCAAAATATACTTGAAATTTACCATCTGATGTATTCTCTTACCTCTGCATAAGCTTTGGCCCATGTACTCGCCAGCTGATGTAAATCTACTTCACCTGATTTCACAGCTTCCAGGGATGCTTCGGCATCTCTATCATAATCTCTGAGGGATTCCTCTTCTATAAACTGAGTTAGAGCTTCTTTTAAGTCTGTTGCAGGGACATCAAACACCATCATCAGCAAAAAGGTACAAATAGGGAACATTTTACCTGGCTGAGAATTCCAATGTGAAATCTTATTTTTAAAGTTTTATTTATTTATTTTATTTACAGACGGGGTCTCTCTCTTGTTAGCCAGGCTGGAGTGCAGGGGCATGATCATAGCTCACTGAAGCCTTGACTTCCTGGACTCCAGTGATCCTCCCACCTCAGCCTCCAGAATAGCTGGGACCAAAGGTACATGCCACCATGCATGGCTAATTTTTGTATTTTTGGTAGAGACAGCTTTTGCCATGTTGCCAAGCTGGTCTCAAACTCTTAAGTTCAAGTTTTCTACCTGTCTTAGCCTCCCAAAGTGCTGGGATTACAGGTGTGAGCCACCTTACCTGGACATGAAATTTTATTTTATCAAGCTGATACTCTTAATATAATCTCCAACTAAAATGAAATCAGCTTAGAGGATCATTTAACTAATTTCATGATTATTTTTCTTTACTATTACAGGCTATTGCATAGAGAAAGGTCAAAAGTCTTATCTCTTATGTATACCCTTAATTATAATAAAGTAATGTTACTTTCTTAAGCCTGATAGTTCAGTTTGAAGCCAAGTGAGTATAAGCACATAAAGAAAATGCTACAGATTTTGGGGCTCTGAACATAACTGTATTTAGATTAAAAACAGTTTTCCATGTAACTTTAAAGGGTACATTGTCACATGCTTGAAAGAGAAGAGGAATGACTATCTTATTAAAACATTTAACTCAGATGACAGATTTCAGTTTTACAGACACCATTTAGAGAATGACATAATAGAAGAGTACTGAGAAAGAAGTGAGGACACCTGTGTTCTAGCTTTGGCTCTGTCACGATGTCTGTGACTTTAGATAGTTGTTCATAATCTTGAACGTGCATTAGAATCCCCTGGAGGCCTTATTGAAACAGACTGCCGGATGCTATCCCAGTTTCTGACTCAGCAGGAATGGGATGGAGCCTGAGAATTTGCATGTCTAACAAGCTCACAGGTGACGCTGTTGCCAAAAGTCGTATTTCAAGAACCACTGCCTTAGGTAAATAATTTAACCTCTTTATGTCCCAGATTCCTTATTTGTACAATATGACTGGGTTATAAGGTTTCTACGGTCTCTTGCAACTCTAGCCTATGATCTAACATGTTCCGAATTTAAAATTTTTCCTAGACTGTGAGACAGGACACAGACCTCTAAAAATGGTTTGATACATATCACTTTATAAAAGTAATTTAGGTAAGCAAATACTATTCAAAAATTAGTAGACTTTCTGTTCTATGGCATCTCAGAAATTAATGACCACATTATTAAAAGGGCAACCGAACTAGCGCTACAATTCTATAACACCACAATTAGTGATAGCTGACCTGCCTTATGACTTCACAACGAAATTCAAAGAGCTCCTCTAGTCCAAACTTTATAACTAATTTTTCATTATAAAATCAAATTTGTATACTTTATAAACAACTACCAGGGTTATAGGAAAAAACACTCAATAAAAGAAAGCTCTGAGAAAGTGCATTTATTCTTGGAATCAATTCCTATTTTACGGCTGTTTCCAAAGCTTCTTAGGTTTATGCTTTCTAATATGAAACTTCTAATGATAAACGCTATTGGAAATAACAAAGTGGTATTACCTAAAAAAAAAAAAAAAAAAAAAAATCAGTCCTCACCTTTTTCTATAAAAGCACGGTAAATTGTGCAGCTGCATCAGACGTCCATGCAAATGACTGGCATTCTCTTGAACAGGAAATCTGAGTGGCACTCTCAGTTCTAAGCACTGACTTCCTACTTTAAATTCATACACAAATTCTCTCTCTCGATTGCAGAATCTTTCTCTGTTTTTCTTCATATTCTTTGACAGGATTTCTATAGAAGTAACAAAAAAGCAGTAGGTTATCAGTCCATGAAGATACTATGTTTCATTATTGCTGTCCCACTTCTAAGAAAACATTCCACCATTCAAGAGATTTTATCTGTGTGGCTATGAGCCAATTATTCTAGTTTTTCCCAAGTGTTATCCCTGTACTCCCATCTTCATGATGAAAACAAAGTGCTTCTTTTTTTAAAAACCAAAACAAACGAAAACACAAACAAAACCCACTTTGCTTTAAACTTGATTTAAGAAAAAAAATTATGCCCTATAAAGTACTTTATATTCCAAGGCAGGGTTCTCAACAACAAGGAAGGACCATGGAGAGAAGAGCAGATACAATTCTTAGGGAGAGCTCATGGGTGGGAAAATACAAAGCTTATGAAACAGTTGGTAAAAAGGAAGTCAAAGAAACAGATCAGGGACCAAGCACTGATCCTGGAGAACTCAGAGACTGTGGTCATGAGATCTGATTAGGGGAAAGGGAGTAAGAAAGTGTTAGAAAGGTTTCCATGTGGGAAGAACATATACAGAAAATAGAGGGTACGGGACCTCCACTTCCACCCCAAAGGGTGCCAAAGGTAAACTAGACACTATTAAGAAAGAAAATCTAGTTAAAGGCAGTAAGAATCAACACTGATTATCAAGATTTATTTGTTCATCAGCCTTGTAACTGGACTCCCTATGGCTAGGCTTTCTCCATCAAATCATTTCTCACATTATTTTCTACACTGAAGTTATAGTAATCTTTCTTTTATTTTTTAATTTAATTTTATTTATTGTTTTGAGACGGAGTCTCCCTCTGTCGCCCAGGCTGGAGTGCGGTGGTGCAATCTCGGCTCACTGAAACTTCCACCTCTCTGGTTCAAGCCATTCCCCTGCCTCAGCCTCCTTTGTAGCTGGGATTACAGGCGTATGCCACCAGTCCCGGCTAATTTTTTTGTATTTTTAGTAGGGACGGGGTTTCACCATGTTGGCCAGACTGGCCTCAAACTCTTGACCTCACGAAATCCACCCGCCTCAGCCTCTCAAAGTGTTGGGATTACAGGCGTGAGCCACCACACCTGGCCCATAATCTCCCTTTTAAAAAAAGGAATCTACTTATCTGATCATGTTCATCTGCTTAAAAACTTTTTATGACATTCCATTGGTCTCAGGATAAAATGTAAACTCCTTAGGCCAGTTTACAATGTCCCTACTTGTATTTCCACCCTTCTCTCAGAAACTGCACCTCTCCTTCCTAACACACAAATTCACAAATTTTATTTTCCAGCCATTCTGAACTTCTGTCAACACCAGACTTCTCTTTCCATGCCAAATCTTTTTGAATGTCTTTTCCTCTGGCTAGAGCACTCTTAACACTGATGTTAATTTCCTTGGATAGCAATTGCTAATTCTTCAGGTCTCAGTTTAGCCCCTTGGAAGACTTACTGAACTCCCTAAAACTGGATTGGGTCTCAACAGGCTCTCAGATTAGCCTGGACTTATTTGAATCATGGCACTTGTCACGCTCTATTTTTTACTTTTGATAGAAAATAGTCTTCTTGAAGTTGAAGGAATACTGTCTTGTAGTCCATGTATTAGGCAGAATGCTGGGAATATAATGGCAAGAACTGATAAATAATTGTCGGGTTGTATGGCGTTTTTATTTTACGGTACTCACTGGAAAAATAAAGAACAGAACAAGTAATTATTCATACAGTTCTTTAAAAATATATAACCTGAAATATATTAAAAAAAAAAAAACTCAAAGGACTTTTGTACATGAGTGGAGGTGGGGGAAGGAGGTGGAGGGGGTTGGGGGAGTAGGCGGGGGGGAGGGGTGGGGGCGGGGCTGATGAGTTGAATTATCTAGACTATATTTTCAAATCTGCATGTAGGCTATACACAAAATTTTCATTTATTTCACCATCCCGCAAAGAGGAAGGGTGTTTATGTTTTACTCAGAAATGATTAGTTAACATTTATTAAACTTAAAGCAATAAACATTTTTATAGTGTTAGAAAACTACCGAAACTACACAAAGGTCTAGTCTATGATGTAGAAATTCCACTCCTAAGTATATATCCAAACACACACACATGCATATGTTCGTTAAAGTATACGCAGAAGAATGCTCACATAAGTTTTATTTATAATAGCCCCAAACTGGAAACCACCAAAATGCCTATTAGAGGAAAATGGTAAACTTGTTTATTTTATTAGATAAATACTACACAGAAATAAAAAAGAACCTACCACTAATAAATGTAAAAATATGAATGAATCTGGAATGTTAGAAAAAAAAAAAGACACAAAAGCTCTGGTTCAACATTTAGACGTGTGTTTCAAGAAACCGATAACTTTAGTGCTTTCTCTCCTCACTCTTTTTTAGACTAATGGTGTCTCCAGAAGCTTTGGCTCAGTTTTAGCCACCGTGAAATCTAGGAAGGTTTCCCACAAGAACACGGGCTGAGAGGAGAGCGGGACCGAACACACACGGCCAGCAGAGCGGCGGCTCACATGAGTCAGGGAAAAGGCAGGCAGACGGTCGAGCTAAGGAACTTCAGCCGGGTGAGGGGACTAACCCCTCTGCCGCGGGTGTCAGTCTGAAAGGGCTTCCTCGCTCTCGGTTCTGGGCTCACCTCGCCTAGTTCCGAAATCCTGAGCCGTCCGTTCACTCGAGCTGTCAAGTCGTCTCGCACCGGAAAAGCAGCTGGCTTACCGACTTATTTTTACAGCCCGCGGATCCGCCACCGCAGATTCGCCACATCCTTTTCTAGTTCCTGGCATCTTGCAGAAAATTTCTCAGTCCAAATTTCTTTTTCCAACCTGCTTCAATTTACCCATTTTCAAAGTGCAAGAAGGTGTATTTCTACTGTTATTCTGTATTTCCGAGACAGCAAAAAAAAAACTGCCGTTGTGACGAAAGTGCAGAGACAAAGCACAAACTCGGCTCTGGTGGACCGGATACGGAAAAGTGATGCCTTGGGAAGGGCGGGAGCAAATTCACTTTCCCAACTGCGCGTGCGCAGCCCTCAAGCATGGCTGATAGTGATTGGATGACGGGTAGTAGGGGGCGGAGGGCGCCGGTGTCTGGTTTTGGGCGGGAGTTGAAACCGCCACTGCGACCAACAAGAACTTGAGAACTGTAAATATCAAGTCTCGAAAGGGATCATGGTGCGGCCCGTAAGGTGGGTAGTTCCTGACATTCGGCGGGGGTGGGAAGAAAATGTAGGGACAATACATGAGACTAAGGGGAAAGGATCGCAGCGGTGGTGGGGGTAGGATGGACGGTTAAGTGATACCTGTTGCTCAGAAGTTATCCTAGCATCGTAGCTTTGTCCTTCGCTTTGCCTCCCTTCACAGCCGTAGCCGTTTCTTTTATCAAGACCTTGTAATGTTAGCGTTTGAACAGCGCTTTACATTTCACCGAGCGCCCAATTTCGTGTTATTTTAGCTGTTCGTCCCTGTAGTTATTTGATATAGAAAGAGTAGACATTCCTGTTTTATTGATTTAACAGTTCTGCGTGTAGAGGGTACATCACCTGAGTCATACAGCCCAGTCATTGGCAGGGCAATACTCAAACCTCACTCATCACACTGCAGATCGTCTGTGCTTTCCATTACAGTATTAGAAACGATTCCTCTATTTACAGCTGAGTGCCATGGAAGCCTGCGATTAGCCATTCTCAGTAAAGTTATTGAACATATTCATTTCTATAATGTACGAGATGCTGGAGGTTACATTCTAGTGGGAGGTGAGGTTAGGGGCCGAAAATAAGCATCGAAGTATGATAGAGTGCAAAGGAGCAAAGCACTACTTTAAATATAGTAGTTATTTTATTGCCTCTCTGAGGCGATAATACATGCACTGAGTCATGAATCAGGGTAGAGGGAAGAGGAACCAAAGCCCCATACTTGACTGTGTTTTAGGGACAGTCTAAAGCTGTAGGATTAACAAGCAGTGGGGAGAATCGTAGGGGATTGGGTCAGAGAAATAGGTGCCAGAACAGAGAGGGTCTTGTAAGTCTTAGAAAGGAATTTAGGTTTGGTTTTAAGTAGGGGAGAGAAATCTAAGTTTGCTTTTGTAAAAGTCACTGGCTGCTTTTGGAGAATAAATGATGGATGATGGGGTGACCAGAATGGGAGCAGGAAAATCAGGCTATTATATCATTGGAGAGCAGTTTGGGATAGGGTATTATCAGTGGACATGGAATGGAACAGATGAATTTGAGATGTGTTTTGGAGGCACTGCAGACAGAACTTGCTGATGAAGTAGATGTATAAGTAAGGGAAAGAATCAGAGATGGCTCCACAATAGTTTTGGTCTGAGGTACAGAATGGATGATCTTTGTATTAATTAAGATAAGGAAGACTAGGAAAAGGAATGAATGGGTCAGGAAGTGTGAGGGATCAAGATTTCTGTTTTGAACATGTTGAATTTGAAATGGGCTTTAAGCATTCAGGCAGTGAAGTCATAATCCCATTGTATGGAACAGCAGTTGTTATAAAGTATGTTCTGCAGACTTCTGGGAGTCCCTGGAAACTTCTTTAGAGGTCTATGAGATAAAAATTCTTTATAACAAAACTAAGACATGATTTGCCTTTTTCATCACTTTTGTCATTTGCGCTGCAGTGATGATAAAACTGCTGGCACCTCAGAACAATTAAGGCAGTGATACCAAATTGTGCTACTAGTCTTTGCATTGTTTACTACCATACTCTCGAGAGTAAAAAAAAAAAAGAAAAGAAAAAAGAAAATTCAGTTAAGAATATGCTTGATGAAGTAGTGAAAATTACCATATTCATTATAGCTCAACCCCTGAATATACTTTTTAAAAATAGGCTGTTGATTTTATTTTACTATTGTTCAAGTTCAGAATTTCTAAAGGGGTTTTCATGTCTTATGCAGCTCTAAATTCTTTAACTCTGAAGAAGAAAGTAATGTGAGTGTACTTTTTATTATTTTGTGTGAGGAAATGGGAAGTACGCATAAGCACTTCTACATACTGATGCATGATAGTTATCTCAAGGAAAAGCACTTGTGAGATTGTTTCCTTTGTGAGCTGAGCTTATCTTTCTCATGTAACATTATTTTTACTTGAAAGAACAACCAGCTGACAAATTAGGTTATTCACATTTGGACATTTGACAAAAGATGGAAATAAAAACTAGAAAACCATTGTATGTGCCTAGTGCCTAGAGGAGGGAGGAAGAAAATTATTTTTCACTTTGAATATCATTTTCTTCTAATGTCCTCTAAAGTAGTACAGGTTGAATATCCCAAATTTGAAATGCTCAAAAATTTGAAGCTTTTGGAATACCTACATGACACTCAAAAGGAAATATTCATTGGAGCATTTCAGATTTTAGATTTTCAGATTTGGGATGTTCAACTGGTAAGTATATAATGCAAATATTCCAAACTCTGAAAAAAATCCAAAATTCAAAACATTTCTGGTTCAAAGCATTTGTATTTCAGGTGAGGAATACTCAGCCTGTATAAAGATTCATCTTAGGTAGGAGGAACAAGGTCATTCACTATTTTTAAGTGTCCATTGCATAAAAACATTATTTGGTATTGTGGAGAGATTGATAAAAAAGAAAGTAGCTTTTAGTGACAAGAAATTTGTAATCTAGTAAGGAAGATAGAATGTACACACAAAACAGAAGAACACAAAACGGGAACTTAGAAATGCCCAATAGCAATTAACAGTAGAGAAATTATAAGTGTTAATTATATGGATTATTCTTACTTAATAAGTTATCTGAGTTTTTTTTCTTTATTATATAATTGAAAAGCCAACAATACCCAGATATATCAAGTATAGTTGTAACTATTTTAGCTAATGATAAATCCCTGCAGTAAAATACAAATCATGTTTTAGATTTAAATGTTCTTACGAGAACCCAAACACATTTTTATTTATTCAAGACTGTTCATAGCCTTAAGTAATAGAGGTGAGAAATTAACATTTGTGTTAATGAGAAAATTCTGTTTTGGTCATAGACATAAGAAACCAGTCAATTACTCACAGTTTGACAACTCTGACAGTGATGGTAAGTAAAGCTTCTTATTTTTGCTTTAAAGATTTGGAAACTAATTTTCTGAGAATTTATATGACAAGATAGTTCAAATACTGACTGACCTGCCCAATTGCATATGATGTAGGTCTGGAAAGATAGTTTTCTAAGCATTTTGGGTAATTATGCTGATAATTACACTGATAAAAATTATGTTGGTAAGTGATAAATGAACAGGGCCAGGTGAAAAGTCTCTTTAGTTCTAAACTACTCCAGGTCTATAGTTACCACATTGGGGTTTGTCTCCTATCTCATCCCCAAAGAATCTCTAGTAATTGTAATGTAAAACAAGACCTCGAACAAAGGTTAGGCTTATGCCTTTTAACCGTTAGTCATATGCTTACTTGACTCTGCTATGATTGGAAAGTTGAGGAACATTGCATTAGATTATGTTATACGTTGAAATGGATTTAATATTTCTTTCTTAGACCAGTAGAGTTTTCTGTAAGTCAAATATTTAGTAAGTCTTTGGTTTGAAGCAGTCTGTTTTGCCTAGAGCACAGCCTTAACTGTATCTGCCACTTGAGAAAAAGGTATAGAATACAGCCTCTAGCTTTTTTTTTGACTGTCATCAGTGTGTCACAAGATACTTATGAACTGCCAGGTGTGTAGTAGGTGGGGGTGGCAGCAGGTGGAGGGGGTCATGAATTATCCTATTTATGGGAAGCATATAAGAGGCAACAAGTATTAATGCTTGCTAAGCACGTGATTAAGACTACATAGGCCCTGAAGGTATGCCTGTATGTGTTGTGTGCGTGTTGAAAAGCCACGGCAGTGTTTTGTTGACAGTCAAAAGAACTACAACAGTTCTGAGGATTGGTAGGACAGAAAAACCTGTGAGAAACAATAATGGACTGGAAAAGAACATTCTTTTGCCAGAAAATAAGAAGTTACTGTGGTAGGGTCATAGGAAGATCGTTACGGTAATAGAAAGACGAAATACTACTATTGCAAAAATCCTCAAATAGGAGCTTTTTTCTCTTCCCCCATATTGCTTCTTTTCTCTGGCATGGTTAATATACTAGAAATAGGTAATGGACATTGTCTTTTTTCTTTTTTTGAGACAGTCTCACTCTTGTTGCCCAGACTGGAGAACAATGGTGCAATCTCAGCTCAATGCAACCTCTGCCTCCTGGGTTCAAGTGATTCCCCGGCTCAGCCTCCTGAATAGCTGGGATTACAGGCATTCGCCACCACGCATGGCTAATTTTTGTATTTTTTAGTAGAGGCAGGGTTTCACCATATTGGCCAGGCTGGTCTTGAACTCTTGACCTCAAGTGATCCACCCACCTCAGCCTCCCAAAGTGCTGGGATTACAAGCGTGAGCCACCATGCCTGGCCCAGGTAATGGTCTTTGAAAGAAGATATTTGGTTACATTGTGAAGTTCCCATAAAAAATAAGTTATTTCCATTTTTCAATGTGATTAAATTCTACAATTTTTCTAATGGCTTTACAGGTTTTTAATCATTTTTTATTTGACATTTATATGCTGTCTTAATTGCTTTTGCAGTTTTTAGTGAAGTGGTTTTTGACAGACTGATATTTTTAAATATAAAGGTCACCAAAACAAAGAAAAGTCAAAATAGATGCATAATAATAAAGATAAACAAAATGCTAACAATGATTTTTAAATTGTGGAAATTAAACAATTTGCC